CTCTCTATATGGGAAAAATGTTAATCGATCTGGAGAATTATCTTAAGGTTAAGATGCAAGGAAAAATCGGCGATGATGCAGCTGTAATTAATCCTTTTAATTGCAGATTAGATGGAAATTTTACGCTCGGAGCATTTTCTGATACGATCGAAGTCTCGATTTAAAAGGAAAAGAATTTTACTCGTGTAGTTGTTAATTTGCTTTATTTTAATATAAATGAAAGTCGAACGAAGTTATGCGCGTATTATGAATGGCGCCGGTAAATTGGCAAGGGTTAGATCACAATGTTTGAACAATTAATCTAATGCAATTATTTTACCTAGCAATAAATATAGAAAAGGAAAAAAATGATCAACGTTCATGAATTTATGTATTTGCATTTTTCTCCTTTTGTTAATTCCCTTTATTCCAATATTAATCAAACTTGAACAGAATTACCATGCACATTATACCTGGTGCCAGTAGATTGCAAAGTGTCAAATCACAATGTTACAAAAATTAAAGTTTCTCACAATATTCTACAAATTCGTTCGCAAAATCGCACAAAAGAGAGAAATCACAAACTTTTTCCCAAACGATGTTAGACAAGCTTCCAAAAATTCTCCACGCCGTTGCTACATTGGAATAAAACTTCATACTCGTCTCTTAATTAACAACGATATATAATACATCCACTCGTTTCCTCTTCCTTCCCCTGAAAAATTCATTCATTACGCGGACTACGTTAGCGATACTAATAAGTCCCGAAAGACCGAAAGGTGGTCATACTTTGCAATCAAGAAACACCAGCAACGGCAGGTTCGTCAGATTGAATTAATCGTCACGCGTGTTCTTTTTTTTTTCCTCTCTTTCTTTCAAAAACCGTCGAGGTGCATGTACTTTAAATCACAAGCGAACAGACTTCTACACACTCCCCTCTTCTTACTGGCTGCATCGACTAATCTTATCTTATCCGGTGATCCTCCTAATGCCCACGGTAACCGTGCGCGCCGCTCGCCGTGTGTAACACGCTCGAGAACACCGTGAAAATACATTCTTTTCTCTGGCCGTCGTTGTCCCTCTCTCTCTCGCTCTCTCGTCAGATGAATGGAAGTAAGAGAGTACATTTAGCATGACCGCGGATGTTTATGATCGTGTCGATACACCGACGAGATAATTAACGGGTGGCGCGAGAATGGAAAATCGCCGGAGCGGAATTTTTATAACTCCCGATCGAACACCTTCGTTAATTGCTACCTTCTGTTTCCATTTTTTTGTCCCCCTTTTTTTTTCCCTCTCCCTCTTCTCTTGTTTTTCTCTTCTTTCGTCGTTCGCTTGTTTGCTCGTTCGAACGACGACGAAGACATTCGTTTCCGCGCGCGGAGCAATTACTCAATTAGAAAAGCGTCGCTGCGGAGAAAAATATCGCCGCCGGTGGCGAAAAAACGATCGGACGAGCGTGTAAAGCGTTGATGGACTGTGATCGTAAGAGCCTCGCGATCGAGCGCCGTCGGACCGCGATCGGTTCACCGCAACGTGAACATTCACTGTGGATTCACGTGGAACAGTCTTCATGGTGGATTTTTTGCTGGGTTTTTTTTTTTTCTCGATGTGGTTTCGGTGGTTTCGAGGGGTTTGCTTTGGGATAAGAAAGGAAAATATTGGTTGAATTTAGAGGAGGGATTGGTTTAATTTCAGCGTGTTCGATTAACCCTTTCCTTTTTCTTGGTGATATTTAGTAGGAGATTTGATTGTTCGGTGACATAATTTTGAAGTAGTGAATGTGTTTGTGCGCGTGTGTAGGAGATAATTAAGACGATGGAAGAAATAGAAATTTTTTAAGTTATTCTCTACGTACTCTACAACGTTTTCTTACATCATGAAAGGGTTAAGGTACAGGAGTGTGTAACTGTTTAACCATTTACAGTCTGAAATACACTGAATGTTTTGTTGCAACTGATGCATATTCAATGAGCGACTCTCAAAGGCACTTCATAAATTAACTCTATTTCATGTTTGCGCAACTAGTAACACATCCATATATACATGCAACGTTATTCACTGAAAACAAACCTTCAGTGTGAAACAATGTAGTTTGCGCGTGTGCGACGGTGATTTGTGAAAGTGGTCCAAATGAAAAATCTGGAAAAATTGACTTTCTTCCTAGAAGCGTTTTATCAGCGAAACAAACAGTTTTCTACAATATCTACACCTTTCCAAAGAAAAACCTCCACGATCACCTGCAAATTTATTACAAATATAAAACCCTAAAGTGTTAAGAAAAAAAAAAAAAATAAATACAAAAAATTCAATTATCAATATTTCGCTAAATAACGAAAGAATATTTTTCAATAAACCCGAAGAGCAACGTTCGAACCTTCGAAAATAAAAAAAAAAAAGTTCACCTGCATATTCATCAAAATTCCCTTGCAATTTAACGCAGCAGCATCCCGGAACGTTTAAAAAAACACATAAAATTCCGTTACGAAGTAAGACACGCCTTTATTCAAATATACACAGCATGATGAACCGAACTTTCACCGTCTCGTCGTTGTTTTCGCGGCTTCTTATCCGCAATCGTGTTTTAATCGGCGATATCTGTGACCGATCGATGGGATTAATTTATTGCACGTCCGATACGCCACGATCCTTGCATGCTGCCTCTCCTCATTTCCTTCTCTCTCTCTCTCTCTGTTCCTTAGCGGGGAGCGTGTAGAGAGAAGGTCGAGGAAATAAATTGCCACCAGTCGAAAAATGAAACGGGCTCATCGACCGGCCACGGAGAGTTAATTAACATGCCCGGAGTCTCGAAGCTGCGTTTGTTAAAGAGAAAGAGAGCAAACTGTGCTCCGTGGCCTGGCTGCGATGATGACCGTTCCTCTGGTTATCTTGTTGTTTCGCCTGAGTCGCCTTTTATCTGAACTGTGGCTTTCTCTTGTTCTGTTACAGACACCCCCTGTTCCCGCTTCTCGCGCTGATTTTCGAAAAGTGCGAGCTGGCGACGTGTACGCCGCGCGAACCAGGCGTCGCGGGCGGTGACGTGTGCTCGTCAGAAAGCTTCAACGAGGACATCGCTGTCTTCTCCAAACAGGTGAGTGTCTTCTTCAGTAAGTTCAATGCCTCGTGGATACGAAATTGGTCGTATGTACAACACAGCGGTTTAGTTGATTGTTTACGCGAGGATCGAGGAAGTTGTTTGCGCGACCCACTTTCAGTCAGCTAGAGCAGCGATTTTTTAACCCTTTTTATCTTACCGCACACATCGACTAATTACCGAAATTCTACCGCACACCGAGAAATATGTTGTATCTCTTCGGTGATCTGACAGAAAAAGAATACTTTTTTGATTGATTTATCAAAAAAATTGTATCCTTTTCTGTTAATTTTTTAAGTTGGATAGAAAATTTTGGGCACTTTGGCGCTGTGCTTAAAAATTAACGAGCTAGAGTGAATAAATAAAGATGGTATGATTTTTCGGTATAAATAATACAATAGAAATAAAAGTATCAGTTCGGAAAATAAAACGAAAATTTGTTCGTTGTTACTTTAGGTTGGAAATCAAAAATTAGATCATTTTTTAACGATTCACAAGCCTCGATCGTTATAAACTGTAATAAATCGAGCCGTGAAAGCCTAGAAACTGTCATTCGACAATTTTTAAATATTGATAAATTAGGTGCTTTTAAGATTGCGGTTATGAGCAAGAAAACGGTTGCTCGTCACCGATATACTTGTTCATGAGTGACTGAATCGTTAATAGGTACGGAGTAGGGAAAATTGTTCCCGTATATTCCAATGAATATTCGAGTAATTTATAGACGGAAGTGTAATTGAAGGCTCGTGTGATTTATCTTCCTTCAGTTTGCACTGTGAAATGCAGCGGTATCGCGAAACTGGTATTATATCGGTAGTTTTTTTATGCCAATTTTATCGTCCGGTTCGAAGCTTCTTAATTAAAGCAAAGGAGTCGTTTTATGACAATTTTCACTGAACATTATGCATCAATTGATTATCGACGAAGTTAACGATTATATCGAATCTTGTTCAGGTAGTGAGCACGCATTTACGATGCAGTTAAACTCAAGATTATTAGTGTAACATTCGTTAAATTATTCCGTAAAAAAACAAATCAGATATCCTTTATTATTTAGTGTAAAATTCAATTCGTACGAGAATTTCTCGCCTAAGAATTAACATACACCGTGTCTCCGAAATAAAAACACATCATCCAATTATAATTAAAAGAAATCTAAAAATACCAATACAAAACCGACACCTAAACCGTTGCTTGAGAGTTTCTCTAACGATAATTCGAAAAGTGTCAGAGGGGAGAATTCAGAAGCCCCCAGTTTTCCAGTTCCGTGGAACACACTATCCCACAGAATGTTTCGTGAGAGAATGTAGGAAAGTAGCAAGCACTCGTGGGGAGAGGCAAAGAATTTCGAGCCGCTCCAAATGAGTCACGACTCTCGAAACGAAATAACGTTGCGCCAAACCCATGGAAGTTTTAAGGGTCCGGCATCTCCGTCGTCGTTGGGACTTATTTTTAGGAATTCCATCTCGTCAGTTGCGGAGGAGACGACAGCGACGAGAATCGGTCGAAAGATCGTTCAGGGCCGTGTTCTCCGGGCGACGCGGCCAACCAGCCGGAAGAAGACCTCGCATTCGCATTGTTGTTCGCGCGGCGGCCCCCTTTCTTCTTCTTCTCTCCTTCTTCGTTGCTCGTTTTTCTCCTCCGTTCCATCCTCGTCGCGCTTCTCACTCTGGTAACTCACCTGAGGCGAGTCCTGCCAAGGACACACGCGTAGGTAACCGGAGAACCTATACGCGAAACGATTTGGACCTTTTAAAAACACACCGTTTCGCCATCCACTACGCTCCTGAGCGAGAAAGGCGCGCGTGGATCGTTTCTCCGAGCACGTTCAGGTACAGAATAATCTCTCGGTTTTTTCAAAGGTAGACGAAGAAAGCATAGACACAGCTGTGAATGTTGGAAATATTTGGAGTCTTTGTTAACCCTTTAACGCTCATGCTTCTGTTCTTCACTAATCCTCGAGAAAGTGTAACTTTGGTTAATTATTTTCTTCCACTGTTTGCATCGCGCTAGCATTTTTCTTCCATTGAAAAAATGTAAATAAATGGGAAATAATTAGGAAAAAATAACATTTCTGGCATGCCAATTTGAGAAAAATGTGAGCGTTCGGGGGTTCGACTTTACGCCAGCCGAAAGATGAATGAAAATTTACACAAAGCGTCGATATTGTACTTTTTCTTGTCGCCTAGAAGAGAAATCATGAAATTGATCGAAAAATCGGCCGTCTAAAGCTCGTAGCATACAATCAGAACGAGCAATGTTTATCGCTTTTGTTTCATCAACTGTGTCTTATCACTTTATTTCAAAAATTGCATTGTCCAGATACTTGTCGTCGACTCTTACACACTTCCAAAGCCTCGAACGATCGATTTTCTCTCTGTGCGCCTCGAGAAAAAGTGTTTCTGTTTCTCACAGTAACGATAGAACTCGTCGCGATTTCGCAAAAGACACGGAATAACCGGGATATTTCGTCCGTGGAAACAAAGCGGAGGCGATTAAGTCGAGCCGACAGTGCGGACGATAAAAATGTTGCCTTGGTGGTTCTTTGCGCGGTTAGTTGATGCAAACGAATGCAGCACATTTAGATTGAGGGATATCGGCGCCTATGTATATCGTAGAGCTAGATAGCCACACCGTTCGTGGGTTATCTTTGCATAAAATTGCACTTGTGCCTTCGAGCAAACGCTCCTACTCGTCTTTACTCGTGCTAATTATTCCGATGAACGAATAGGCATGGTCGAATAGAGGTGTACGCGAAGTTATTGCGGATTCTATCGGAATTTCTTTCGGTCTTTAACCAAAAAACAAAAGAAAACAAAATCAACTACCAATCGTTGTACCTAAATATAGAACGTGTACGGTAACACGGTAGCGAACCACGGCTCTTGGCTATGCTACGTCAAGATAACGATAAGAGTTAAGCCTGGTTGCGAGGTTGGGATAAGGTGTGTGAGCTGGCCCTCGGCTGTTAATTCGGTGCTGCGTCATTACTTTGTCGCGAATCTGATTTGAAAAATAACAATTTTTCGTATATCGCGTTCTTTATGCTAGGCTGGATCAAGAGTGTCTTTCATTCTCGTTAAATCGCCCCGTTCTCGAACGTCCTATTATTTATCCACGCCGTGTCGACATTGCATCGAGACAACCGCGCCGTACACTCGCGGAGACTCCGTTGCTGTTGCGAAATTGACATGACATTTGCATCTTAATAAGGTACATAGGATTACGAAGTAAGAATAAAGAGGTCTGTCGAGAGTGGGGTGTAGTGGAAACGACGAAAAAAAAAAATCGAAAAGAAGGACAGATGTATGTACACACCTTTAGCTCGATCGTTTCTTCTCTTTCTTTCTCCCGACGGTGATTCCCCCCCCTGGTGAAAAGAGTAAACGTATCTCGCGAACCTCGTATTTCACCGGTGCTATCGACGCAATTAATTTCCCTTTTTGTTCCGTGGAAGCAGCGGGTACTATGTACGTGGTTGTCCCCGACGTATCTTCTCGAGGAGATCGAGAAGATTGGCTCTGGGGGAGCCGCGAAACTTTCGAAACGAGGAAGTGGTGTACGACTGTGACGCGCTCGACCGTAGGACGTGTCCCGCTAATTCAGAGATTACGCGCCGTCCCCACGAGCGGATAAACAAATTGTCGAGGGGGACAGAGGCCTGGTTACCCTGTTGTGCACCATCTACGATGTGCGTTCCCCCCTCTCTCTCTCTCTCTGTGGTGATTCTTTCACCGGTATACAGATAATGAATTTTGATATCGAGTAGGGACACCGCGGGTGTTATGAAATTTTCTGCGCGCCACTTTATCTCTCACGCCGGCGTTTTCTTTTTCTTTCTCACACGTTGCTCGTAGTAGGTACACGAGGCTAAATTCATTTTGCTAGTCCACTGTCGTCGACGAGCAGATTACACCGACGATTATAGGCAAATCCACCTCGCCCACTCGTTCTTTACTTCCCATCGATCCTGTCGTCACCGATGTCTCTTACGGAGGTCGTTCCGTAATGGTAGAGGGAAAGAAAGAGACAGGTAGAGCGAGAGCGTGAGAGGGGGGGAGTGTGTATACGCGCACACCGAGACGGTTATAGTACACGTGAAAAGATAAGCAGGTGACAATCCTCTTGCGGTGGTTTTCGAGGCGTGTCGTTGGAGCCCTTTTACACCCCGTCGATACTTGGACGGAGATATAGTAGGGCCGGTGCGCGCGACAAAAGGGCCGCGCGCGGCTCGCGTCTATATACAACATCGGGATTATTCGTCCGCGTTTCGTTTTCGTTGCGTGCGCGGCAGCGGCGGGCGCATGCGCGATGGCCGGCTCGCGGGACCCGGCGCATGCGCAGTCTCAGTCGCGGTACGACCACCGCAGCCGGTGAGTCGTGAGATGCGACGAACCGTGGCGAAAGCGGCCGAACTAACCGGAGGGTCGAGTGGTGGGGGTCAGAGAAGGGGTGCTCGTGCAGCCGGTGGAGCGCTGCTCATTTTCTGCCATTGTAAATTGATCTATTCAATGGGGCCCGGCATTATCCCGCGCGGTCCACGCATCGTGCGTGCCCTATGGGGCCTCGATACATTCCACACGCAGAGCCCGGCCAAAATCCCGCCGTCTCCTCCTGCGCGCTCCCTTTTTGCGCGCGTTGCCTTCGAGCTTCTGCCTGCGACGTAGCAACGCACACACACCGCAGCCAGCGTCCCGCTGCGACGCGTTACGCGCATTGTTGTGCCCTTTTTTTTACCCCAGATGGATCGACCGTCCCAGTTTTCGTGGCCATCCTGGCTGCGAAAATTTCCCTTTCGACGGCGTCCCGGTGTGCCGTGTTTAAT